GTGTTCTTGGAAGCAACTTTAATGTATTGGCTCAGGACTGAGTTGGGAACAGCTCTGAGGCCTGCTGTCTTCAGACAAAAAGTGGCTCGGGCAAGGATTTCCGGGTCCAGGTCTAACAAGTGGCCGACGCCTTATGGAAACTTTTGAAGGGCTTTCTGTTTCAGACAAGCCAGCTTGTACTTCACCATGTTGCCCTAGCTATCTTTCCCTTCAACTTGGGAACACAAGAAAAGGGAAAACTAATCATCATTGAGTGCCTACTATGTGCCAAGAACCAAATCAGCAATTTCACCGTTTTAAGAGTGATAACGTTGCTTTTGAGAAGGGAATGGAGACCCACGCGGCCCCTGGTGGCAGAAAAAAGAAACGCAAGCATCTCAGCCTCAAGGACTTTTCCTTTCTGGAGGGCCTTCTTAGCTGCACATCTCAGCTCTGCCTCGCAGCCAAAACGTCCTCACTTTAACAGGATAAGCACCCCTATGGCAAATATACGCTGTGTTCTCTAGACCACGTGATTATGAAATAGAATAAAGTGCTGAGGATTAGGCGTAGGCCTTCCGGGTCTGAGTCCTACAATGCAACCGGAATAGTGGAGGAAGCCCAGGGTAGGCAAATGTGATTAATCTTGACTCTGTAGCAAGCCACACCTTTCCGTGGGACTCTGCGTTCTGCAGGTATCACAGCTTTGGAAAGTATTTTTGTTGTTTTTAAGTGCCGTCGAGTCAGTTCCACCTCATAAAGATCCTGTATAGGGTTTCAGAGGAGCGACTGGTGGGTTTGAACTGCCAACCTTGTGATTCAAAGCAACCTTTCAGACCAGTGTTTGTTCTACAGCGCCACACCAGGACTCCTTGGAAAATGTAGAGATCTGCATATCTATTTTGCTTTTCTGGGCCTTGATTTTTTGCCATCTGTAATTGGAAATACTGTTTGGCACATCAGGACTGAAAAATACAGAGTACCTTGTTGGAAAGTCATTTAGAAAATTCATCCTTGTTCAGTCTTCATTCATTCATTCCTTTCTTCATTAAGCATCAGGGGTGTGGGGTCATTACTGTCCAGCTGTGTGCAGGGCAGTGCAAATAAAGAAATGAGCAAGGTAAGCACATTGTTTACACCTAGAGAAAGAGAGAGAAATGTGTGGTTAGAAACAATTCCCGGTACTCTCCACTCCCACCTTCACTAAAACTCCACTCTTTCCTTGATTTGATGATGGGCATTGTTTTCACATTTTAACGTTTCTGAAATCGGTGCTATGTTACAATTATGGCATCTTAACATTTTCTTAAGCAGCATTTTCTCTTTTCTTGGTGATACATTTAAAATGATACATCTTACAGTTTCTAGCATCTCAAATTCAATGAAATATAATTTGACAAAAATTTTATGATTATCATTATTCAATTGGACAGATCACATGTCAAAATATCTCGGATTGCCTCTCAGTTGGCACTGAAACAGCTTCAAAGGAAATGGGCCAGGGATGCTGTATCACTCTTTGGCCACCAGAGGGAGAGAGTGCATCAGCGAGGAACAGAGCTCTCAGATGAGTGAGCTTTCCTAAACCTTTGCATCACAACAAGCCCTCTTCAGAGGCAGTCAGCCTACAGCATTGAAACCCTACCTGCAGATTCAGAATAGAGGACAAAGCCCCTGTTCTAGAGCAATGACAGCACCAAAAAGAAAACTTTGCTGGATCTGAATGATGTCTGCCGAGCATGCTACAAATCCGCTATCATCTAATGAACTGTGTTAGTGAGGTCAGGTGGCGGACATGACCCGGGACGCTCCCAGAAAAGTGGGGTTTGGGGACAGCACCTCATCCTTCCTGTGATTTGTAAACTTTTCCGAAGAAGTGCTCTCACATTAGCTGTTACCTGCGTCCTTACATAACCAATCTCTCCTTCCTTCTTTCATTTAGCTATTTTATCAACCAGGCACCTACTATGTGCCTGGTATTATGCTACACACTGAGGAGACAGCAGTAAACAGAATTAGAGAATGTCACTGTCCTGATGAATCTTAAATTCTGCAGGTGAATGAAGTAGGACATAATTCAACATCTTCTAGGAATTTGAAGGAGGCCAATGTGGGCCCCAGAGACACGAACAAGAGAAGCGCATGACAAGCTAAAGCATAATTGTTGTTTGTCGTCAAGTGCCATCAAGTTGCTTTGGGCTCATAGCAACCATGCATAGGGTTTCTAGGGAACAGCTGTTGGGTTTAAACTATGGACTTTGCAGTTAACAATGCAGTATTTATCCTCTAGTAACACATCGGCATACTGGGAGCTCAGTAATGCAGAGCATTGGGTACCAGGTTAAAGACACTTTGTTTTTTTTAAGTCTAAAGCTGTTTAAAGGTTTTAAGCAGGGGACTGAAATGAGTGGTTAATGTACTGGACTGCAAGGTTGGTGGTTCAAGTTCACCAGCTGCTCCTCAGAAATCCTATATAAGGTCACTGTGAGTTGGAACCAACTCGATGACACTTAGCAACAGTAACAATTCTTGATTGTTGGTACCCCATACATAAAACATTTAATAGATAATCTGTTGTGTAAAAATGGAAGGCCTGTAACTTGTCCTAAGATTATTTCTGGTGCCCTGGTGTGATGCTAGACTATTAACTGCAATGTCAGCGGTTCAAACCCACCAGCTGCTCCTTGGAAACCCAATACAAAATTACTATGAGTCAGAACCAGCTCAACAGCACTTAACAGCAAGATTTCTTTCAAGTTTCCTGTTCCTATTCTCATCTTTTACTGTTTCATGAACAAAACTCATGTGCTCTATCCATGAACTTCAGTCATCTCAAGATTCATGCACTGTGCGGCCAGACACCCTCCCATCCTCCAACTTTCCTAAGAGAAGAGCTCAAAAATGAGATTCTGGTCAAACTGACAACGGCAACTCAAAAAGCTAGCTAGGAACCTTTGGGAGCAGTGAGCGTGTGTTAGATGATGAAACCACTCAGTAAAGGAGAGAGAATGGTTGTCCAACTCGGACACTGTATCAGCGTTACTAAAGTGTACATGTAGAAACCACTACTTTCCAAAAAACAAAGTCAATAAAGTAAGTAATGGAGCAAGCCAAAGAACAGTTAGCATAACCGAATGGAGAGCAGTGGGGAACTGCAATGGGGTTGAGGTGACTGGAGCGGGAAGCGGGTGACCCGATTAAACTAGGAACCATAGGCTGAGAAGGTTCCGAAAGTACGTCCTGATATGAGCCCTGGAAAGTGTGATGATGGGAAAGGTAATCCCAGGCGGAACAGGGAGGACCACCTGCCTGAATGTCTACAACTTGTAGTAGAATGGTCTAGAACTTCCTACTCCTCCTAGAAAAGAAGAAGAAGAAGCTGGGAAGGGTCTGAGGTCTGTGCAGAGAAGGAATATAGACTCCATCCACTGCTGTCTAGTTGATTCCAACTCATCGTGACCACATAGAACAGAAAAGTGTGCGGTAGGGTTTCCAGGGTTGTAACTCTTTGGGGAAGCAGGTTGCTACACCTTTCTCCTGAGGAATGGCTGGTGGATTTGAGCCGCCGACCTTTCACTTATCAGAAGAGCCTTATACATTCCATGGTGCTGATGCTGTTATTAAGTGCCGTTGAGTTGGTTCTGCCTCATAGCAGCCCTCCACAAGATTTCCTAGGACCTGCTGGTGGATTTGAACTGCCAACCTGTGGTTCACAATGGAGTGTTGATCCTACAGCACCACACCAGGAGCTCATAGTGCTTGGTAACTTCTTGTTGTTGTTGTTAAGTACTGTGGAGTCGGTCCCGACTCATAGTGACCCTGTACAGGGTTTCCGAGGCTGTAAATCTTTACGGGAGCAGAAAGCTTCATCTTTCTCCCATGGAACAGCTGGTAGTTTCGAACTGCTGACCTTGCGGTTCACAGCCCGATTCGTAACCACTATGCTACCAGAGCTCCTTGGTACTTGAGTTTCTCTTAAACCCAACACAGTTGAAAACCCCAGATCTGTTTGTATGTATCAAAAGGAAAAATATATGTACAACTAGCATGTATAGTCCTGGTGTGGCACTGTAGGATAATGCACTGGACCGCAAGATTGGTTTGAACTGCAGGTTGGTGGTTCAAACCCACCAGCCGCTCCTTGGAAACCCTATGCACAGTCGTTAAGAGTCGGAACCAACTGGATGGCACTGAACAACAAGAGCAGCAATCATTTGAGGCATTGGTGGTTCTGTGGTAAAATTCTTACCTTTCATGTAGGAGACCCAGGTTCAATTCTGGGTCAAGGCATCCATATGTCAGTGGTGGTTGCATATTACTATGATGTTGAAAAAGTTTCAGTAGAGCTTTCACACTAAGATGGTCTAGGAAGAAAGACTTGGCAATCTAGTTCCAAAACTCAACCAATGAAAACTCTGTGAATCACAACAATCCAGACAGTGTTTCGTTCCACAGTGCATGGGGTCACGGGGGCTAGCTGATACATCAGCAGTTACCAACGACAGCAGCCGTTTAAGACAGTACAATGGGCAATATGAAAGGTAAAGAAAAAAAAAAGAGTTTGGCCTTCAGGAAAAAAAAGAGACTTTTGTTCTAAGTGGGTGGTCAGGAAAGTTTTCACAGGAAAATAAACTTTCCTCTGGACTTGGAAAAATGAGGTGAGTTTGAAAGCCAAAGGTCAGAGGGGCGGAGAAATTGTCCCAGGTCTTTCCAGTAACATATTGTTGTTGTTAAGTGTTGTCGATACTGAGTCTTAGAGACCCGTATCAACCCGGTACAGGGTTTCCAAGGAGCAGCTGGTAAGTTTGAACCACAAACTTTGTTGTCCGCAATCCAGTGCTTATCCTATAGCGCCGCACCAGCATAGTTACTGGACTAGTTGGTCCCAGGCATGCCACTGCTCACTCCCTCAGGACAGACCTCCTATGTCCTGAAATCTGAATCCTCCTGCATGCCATGCTGACTCACCTGTTCTTTCCCTCTCCCTCTCCCCAGCTGTATGCCAGATGAGCAGTCACCCCCTCAAGGACATGTCTGACACCCACAGCAGCCCTCTCCTGGCAGAAGCTCTTTCCAGCCGATGTAAGCTCTATGAGTCTGAATTCACCAGCCCCAGCTGGCCCTCAAGTCCCCAGGACACACATCCAGCCTTGCCCCTCCTGGAAATGCCTGAAGAAAAGGTAAGGGGTGACCCTCTGAGGATGCAGAAGGGTAGTGGAAAGTACTGCTTGCCTGGATTCCTGATACATTTCATATGTGCCTGTAATTACCATTGCCCTGACAGATCCTGTCCCAGCCAATCACCTGCCCTACATAGCCTTAGACAGAAGACTTGGTGCTGGGTGAGGCATGATTGGTTAAGCAAGTAGAGAACACACACACAAACACACACCAGCCTCCCACCAGTTTTTACATGGAGATGTGTGTCCAAAATCATTCTCCAGTTACCCTTGAATTACCCTGTTGCTGTTGTTGTTAAGTGCCGTCAAGTTGGTTCCAACTCATAGCAACTCTGTATAGGGTTTCCAAGGAGCGGCTGGTGAGTTTGAACCATTGACCTTATGGTTCAACCTGACCTTGCGGTTCAGTGCTTTCCCTCACAGCACCACACCATGACTTCAACTATCTCTCAAAAGAAGGCCTCTGTTAAAATGCAGGCCGTTTGTTAGCGTCCTCTGTACACAGCAGCACACATGTCGATTGTCTATTGGAGTGTTGTCTTTTTGTTATTGTGTTGTTAAGTGCTGTCAAATCAGTTCCAACTCACAGGGACTCTATATAGGGTTTCCCAGGAGTGGCTGGTGTTTCTGAACCGCCAACCTTGGGTTTGCAGTCTAGTGTTTATCCTACAACACCACACCAGGCTGTAATGAGATATAATTCATATATCATAAAATTCACCCTTTAAATTGTACATTAAGTGATTTTTAGTATATTCACAAAATTGTGCAAACATCACCACGATCCAATTCTACTATATTTTCATTATCCCTTTAGCGGGATAAAACACTGAACCAAAAGATTGGTTTGAACCACAAGTTTGGCAGTTCAAACTCACCAGCTGCTCCTTGGAAGCCCTATACAGGGTCAGTATGAGTCAGAACCAACTTGATGGCGGTCAACAACAACACCCTCCCCTGAACCGACTCCACAGCCCTTAACAACAACCCTCCTCTGAAGCCTAATAAAGTTTTTGTCCCTATGGATTTAACTCTTGTAGAAATCACATAATGTGTGGCCTTTTAACTGGCTTCTTCCATTATGCATAATCTTTTCGGATTCATCCACATTGTAGCATAAATCAGTATTTCGTTCCTATGTATGGCTACATCACATTTTGTTTAACCCTTTATCGGTTGCTGGACATTTGAGTTGTTTTCGCTATTTAGCTATTATGAATAATCCTGCTACGGACATTTGTTTACAAGGTTTTACATGGATATATGCTTTCAAGTCACTTGGGTATGTACCCAGGAGTGGAATTGCCTGTCATATGTTTAACACTTTGAGAATTACTAAACTGTCTTCCAAAGAGACTGCACTACTTTACATTCTCATCAGCAATGAATAAGGACTCCAATTTTTCTTCATCCTTGCCGAAACTTGTTAGTATTAATATTTTTATTAAAGCCATCCTGTTGTTGTTGTTAAGTGCCACTGAGTCAGTTCTGACTCATAGTGATCCTGTATAGGGTTTCCAAGAAGCGACTGATGAATTTGAACCATTGACTTGCAGTTCAAATCAACCTTCCGGTCCTGTGCTGTCCTCACAATCGATGTTAACCTTGAGCCCATGGCTGCTGCCACAGTGCCAATCCATCACACTGGGGGTCTTCTTCTTTTTCACTGACCCTCCATGTTACCCAGCATGATGTCCTTTTCCAGGGACTGGTCCCTCCTGAATTCCAGCTCATAGTGTCCCTCTGCTCTGAATCCACTAGGCATGTCTTTCACACTGGTCATTCATGGCTCCAGAGTTTCATTATGGGGAACAACAGTCTGATTAGAAGGGGGGGGGGGGGGGGCTAGTGTTTTAAAGTTGCATTTGCATAGCAAACCCAGAGTTTTTACTTAGACTGAATGGTGGTTATGTGCTGTGGAGTCAGTTCCAACTCACAGCGACCCTGTATAGGGTTTCCAAGGCTATAAATCTTTACAGGAGCAGAAAGCCTCATCTTTCTCCCTCAGAATGACTGATAGGCTTGAACCCCTGACTTTGTAGTTAGCAGCCCAACACTGATCTCAGAGCACCCCCAGGGTGCCTTAGCTAAATAATGTTGTTGTTGTTGTTGTTGTTGTTTTAAGTGCCCTCAAGTCGGTTCCAACCCAAGACAAAACTGTATAGGGTTTCTGGTGAGCTTAAACCTCTGACCTTGCAGTTAAAACTGACCTTGCAGTCTAGCACATTAGCCCTCAGCACCACATCAGGACTCCAACTAAATAGTAGTTCTTTACATAATCTGAAGCCAAGATTCTTATCAGATACATGATTTACATATAGTCTCCCCCTCTGTGGGTTATTTTCTTACTGGAAGTTGGAACCAACTTGGAGGCACACCACCACCACCACCACCACCATCCTTATACCAGTACCACATAGCCTTTAAAATCAGGAAGTGTGAATCCTCCAACTTGGTTCTTTTTTTCAAGATTATTTTGTTGGTTCTTGGTCCCTTGCATTTCCATACACATTTTAGAATTTGCTTGTTAATTTCTGAAAGAAAAAAAAAAAAGACAGTTGGGATCTTGATAGGGATCACATTAGACTCCTGGTGTGGCGCTAGGATAAGCATTGAACTACGAACCACAAGGTTAGCAGTTCAAACCCTCAGAAATCTTATGCAGTGTCGCTATGAGTTGGAACCAACTCCACAGCACTTAACAACAACATTGAACTTATAGATAAATTCTTAGGATCAAGCTTAAGAATATAAATCTCCCAATTTACAAACACAGTATGTCTTGTCATTTATTTAGGTCTTTAATTTTTTCAATAGTGTTTTATAGTTTACAGTGTACAAGCCTTGTACTTATTTTGTTAAATTTATTCCTAAGTATTTTATCTTTTTTAATGCTACTGTAAATGAAATTGTTTTATTAATTTTATTTTTAGATGGTTTATTACTAGAGTATAGAAATAAAACTTATTTTGTATATCTATCTTATAGCCTACAACCTTGCTGAACTCATTTTATAAAATAGTTTTTTATAGATTTTATAGAATTTTCTATGTAAAAGATTATGCCATATGCAATTAGAGATACTTTAACTTCCTTTTTCCAAATTTGGATGGATTTTATTCCTTTTTCTTGCCTGATTTTACTGGCTAGAACTTCCCATAAAATGTTGAATAGAAGGGATGAGACTAGACACCCTAGTTTTAGGACAGCTTTCAGTCTTTCACTAATATAAGCTTAGAATCCTGCTGTGGCACTGCAGGAGAATGTGCCGGACCACAAGGTCAGTTTGAACTGCAATGTCGGTGGTTCAAATCCACCTGCTGCTGCTCAGAAACCCTATACACCCTATGCAACATTGCTATGAGTCAGAAGATAAAGTTATTTGAGATCTTTCTTCTAACTTTAGTGAGCTAAGCACTGCTTAGGTGCACCCCAGCTTTTCCTCTTAAATTGTTTGGTTAGCCTGTTGTTTGCTACGTCATCACAACAGGCACAAGTTTTTCCAGTGTTCTTGATGTTCTTATGGAGAAAAGTATCTGGGACTCCCTTAAGCCACCATTTTCTATACTGTCCTTAAAACTGTTAAATGAAGGTACAAGGAAGAGGCCAGGAAAATCTCTACATCAGAAGTGTCCTGATACATAATGTGAACTACAACAACAATGACATATCTAAGTTTAAATTTTCTAGTAACCACATTAAAAAGGGTAAAAAGAAACATACCATTGATTTTATAATATATCTTACTTAGCTTTACATATATCATTATTGTAATGTGTAACCAATATAAAATATCATTGGCATATTTCACTTTTTTTTCAGACCACATCTTCAAAATTCACTTAAGACACCTCTCAGTTCTGTTTAGCCACGCTTCAAAGTCTCAATAGTTATAGCTCCTACTGACTTCTACATTCAACAGACTAGCTCTTGAGCAAGAGTTTCTGGGTAAAGGTTTCACATATAGAATTGAAGGGGGCAGGGTCCAAAGTTGGAGGAGGAAAATAGTTGATTTTTCTTTTCACTGACATCCAATGAACACTCACATTTCCTTCCATTATGAGTATAGACAATGGGCAACAGTCGCAGTTACAGAACATGAGATTTTTCCCACTGCCAGAGATTGGGTATTCCAGGAAGCAGATGCTGAGATGGAGATTGGTATGTAAGTAGTTCATTAGGAAGTACTCTTGAGATCAACATTTGTAGAGGAGTGAAGGTGGCAGGAGAACCTAGAGTGGGATATATTCACAAGAAAGGCCTCAGCGGATCCTATGGCGCACTCTGGAGCTCAGGAGAGCCTAGATTGGGATAAAGTGACCCCACTAATTTGAGATTATAATAATAATTGGATCTATCACACATACAACCATATCACATTATTTTTATATTTTGATAACTATATTTCAATATAATTGGTTTTCTATATCATTGTTTTTATTTTATGCATTGAAAAATATTATTCTGGGAAGAAGTGCGGAGGCTTCACCAAACTGTCAAAGGAATTCATGGCATAAAAATGTTAAGAAAGCCTAGATGTAGGATGGATACTAATCCTGGGAGCGCAGGCCCATGCGGGCACTCTGAGTCGCATTCATCAGTGAACGAGTATCTTACCTTTTAGTCTCATGATCCGTTACCTTTATCCCAAAGCCTGACGTTCTCCCCATCCCTAATGCCCCTGTTCCCTGAAAGCTGTCTTATTTGAAAGGATCTTCGTTCATCCAATGAAGACAGCCACATTGTGAAAATAGAAAAGCCCAATGAAAGGAGCAAAAGGAGAGAAAGCGGGGCGGCCCACCGGAGCTCTGCAGACAGTGGGGGCATCCACCTCTTCCAGGCAGTGGGCTACCTCACAGGAGAAATGAAGGAGTGCAGGAACTGGCTGAAAGGTAGGCCAATACCTGGTGGGAACAGCCGGGCCAGCCCAAGGAGACAGCCCTCCCTCCGTCCTTGAGTGAGGAAGCTATGTCTTCACTCACCCTCACCGAGACCGGGGCCCTTCTCAGGGACACAGCTTCAGATGGGCGGGATGTGCCCCCCTAACCTAAAGTTCCCAGAATTAAACACATTTCATGGGACTGAACTCCTTGCAGACTGTGCACTCGCCCATGGAATCCAGGATGATCACATGGTGTTGTTGTTGTTTAGTGCCTTGGAGTGGGTTCTGACTCATGGCGACCCTCTAGAGAGGGTTTCTGAGGAGCAGCTGGTGGGCTTGAACTGCCACATTGCAGTTCAAACAACCTTGCAGTATAGTGCTTATCCTACAGTGCCACATAATAAAATATTTACTATGTGCCTACCATGTGCCAAGAAAGTACTGGCATGACCCTGCCCAGTATTTAACTTCTTCCCACTCCTCACCTGCCTGAGCTACACACTGCAACTACAGTCCTCCCTCAACCCACCCACCTGCACAAGTTAGCCTGGAAACCAAACCACAGAATGCCAGACTGTACCTCCCCTCTTGTAGACCTGGCTTCCCCTAGGCCCAGGCTCATACTGATTCTCCCAGCCATGCTAGAGTTTCTTTCCTAGTTTCCTTGCTCTGCCTCCAGGCTGCGCTTTCCTGCCCAGATATCATACAGTACTATACAAAAGAGTTTTGTTCCCTACCTGCCCTCTGCCCCCCAATGTTGTTGTTGTTGTTGTGGTTAAGTGCCGTCCAGTCGATTCCAACCCATAGAGACCCTGTATAGGTTTCCAAGGAGCAGCTGGTGAGCTTGAACCGCCGACCTTGCAGTTCAAATGGCTCTGAAGTCTGATGCATTAGCCCACAGTATTTTCCTTTAAATGCTCCAGGGCTTCCTTTCCAACCAAGCCAGTGGCTGGAACGGTGTTAAATTGGCCTCGGCACGAGGCTTCCGTCTGTATGGAATAAACTACCAGCTACTGCGACTGATGACTGGACCACTCTCAGGGTCTTGGACCGGGTGCCAACCCCCAGCCCCACCAGGCCCCTGTATCACTGTCTGTCTTGGTTGTCACGTCAGTCAGTGGCCCAGCAGGGACACCCAGGCTGGATCCTGCTGATAGCTCTGTGTGTCTCTTCCAGACAAGCCCCTGGCCCTCCAGTTCACAGACTGGATTCTGAGAGGCACTGCTCAGGTGATGTTCGTCAACAACCCACTCAGCGGGTTCATCATCTTCATCGGACTCCTGATCCAGAATCCCTGGTGGACAATTGCTGGAGCTTTGGGGGCCGTGGTCTCCACCTTAACGGCCCTCGCCTTGAGCCAGGATAGGTGGGTCCCTCTCTATGGGGTTTGGCAAGAGGCATGGGGCAGGTAGGTAGAGAGATGTCTACTTGAATGATCAACCAACCTTATCCAGCCTAGTCTCCTGAATACCAACTTTGGCTACATCATGGAAGATCATTACAGAATAAGATGACTTCAGATGCTTACAGCAAAGCACAGCACAGGTTCTGTATGGCTGCAGAAGTGTCTCTGAATACCCCTTCTGAAGGAGATTCAGAAGAACTTCATCTTTATCAAAAGCTGTCCTGCCCTGTGTCCTGTGGAAGAGCCCAGTCTAGGTGAGAAAGACAGAGGTAATGGACAGGAAGTGTCTTAGAACAGTCAAGAACCAGAATGCAAACAGTATATCATCAAGAGTTCAGAGACGGCAGACATCAGTAATCAACTCCAGTGGGAGATTAGAGAGGGCAGCCACTGAACTAGAAAGTTTGGATTCTGAAAGAGGAGAGCCGGCTGCAGAGGAGAACAAGCTAGGGCAACTTGAAACAGAGAGCATCATGGGAGGAGAAGCCAGCTCTGGCTGGAGGCAGGCACCCAATACAATTACAACTAGCACTTTGTCAAAAGCGACCATGTTTTTTTCAGAATTTGCCATATACTATTCCAAAGTCTTCCAAACTTTCCTGATAATCAGGATAGCATGGGGTGACTGTTAACGAAACGTAGCTTCTCAGCCTCACCTATCCCCTCTCTGTAGATATTCCAACTCAGTGGATCTGGGCACAGGAATCTGTCTCATTTTTTACAGCTGCGTGGGTGCTTGTGTGTGGTGGAGGGGGCAGGGGGGTTGGTGATACAAGTGTACAAGGAAGCTTCAAAAAGTCCATGGCAAATGCAATGAAAAGATAAAGGACTTTCTCCATGAACTTTTTTTGAAGCCCCCTTGTACAGATATAATAAAACACTCAATATTTTTTATTGTGGTAAATATGTAAGTAACATACATTTGCCATTTCAATATTTTTTGCGTGTGCAATCCGGTGACATTAATTCCACCGTCACATTGCTAGTCATCACTCCTATACACACACGTATAACTGACAGTCAGCAAAGTTTGGGAAACACGAGAAGTGTGATGTCAGTTCCAACTCTTGGAGATCTGTCAGTCAGAGCATAGGGTTCCCAAGACTGTAAATCTTTATAGAAGCAGACTGCCATCTGTTTCTCCCACTGAGCGGCTAGTGGGTTCAAACTGCTGACCCTTTGGTTAACATCCAGTGCTTTAACCACTGCATCACCAGAGTTTCTTTATCTCATTCTTACCCACTATCAGTCCTGATCATAGTAACCCTGTAAAGGGTTTCCGAAGCCGTAAATCCACGGAAGCAGAGAGCCTCATCTTTCTCTGTAGAGTGGCTGGTGGTTTTGAACTGCTGAATCTGCAGTTAGCAGTCCAGTGCTTGTCCTACAGCAATACTATTTGTGGGTCACCAATCTGTGACATTTTTCTTTTATCTATATTGGTGAGAGAAAGTGCAAGAACACACAAACTGGACCCTGGTATAAAACTTTGCCCTCGCAGTGGTTCTTCTGTGGTGCATTATTGCCCGACAGGGAAGATTGTAGGATGCACATTTTGCAGTGAGGGAAAGGAGACTGGAGGGGTAGAGTTACAGAGTTACTCACCCGAGGCGCCACAGCCAGTGAGCAGCAGGAGTCGTGAGTGTGACGTGTGTGATGTGTGTCTTCCGATCTGCCGAGGCCCGGGTGTGCACAGGGTCTCGGGAGCATCAGGAGCTGGTTGAGTTGTAACTGACATCACACTTCTCCCAGGACCTTCTGGCATTCCTGTGTTGACCAAGGCGCATGAATAAGATCCATGGGCAGGATGGTCTCTGGTGAGAAGCTGCCTCTGGGAAATCAAAATTGGCTTTGGGGTGTGTCAAAGGTGTCATTCTAGCAAAAGAAAAGGTTATTTGTGATCAGATAGATGAATTTGTTTGAGGGCAGGTCTGGTGAGGTTAAAAATGGGTTCCAGCCATGATTTTGTGACTCTGTTTTCACCAGTGGGTTTCTTCATCCTGGTCCACTCTTATCCATAATCTCGCAGGCATCTGACAAGATCAGCTGGCGTCTGACTGCTTACTCTCACCTCTGGTTCCACAAACCCCCCAGGTGTGAGCACTCTCCATCCCACTGCCTTGTTTGCTGTGTGACTTCAAAGAGGCCCCAGTCCTATCTGTCAAACAGACAGTTCCGCTTAGAAGAGCCACAGTCCCTTCCTGCCCTGCCAGTCGGATCCTCTGATTTTCTCCTGACCATAATCCACTGCAATCTTGTCCAAGACATTCACAGAGACTCTGCAGATCCCCCTCCACACCTAACAGTCTGAGCCTAGCCACAGATAAAACAAAAAGTCCCTAATTTAATTCTAGTTACTGTTTGTTTTTTACACAGAAAAAACTCACATTTTATATAGTATTTTTTTCCAATCATGTCTTCCCCTCACGGTATACTTCCTTAAGCATGATATGCTACTATGTTTACATATATATAGAGTAATTAAACTGTGTGTATGAGAGAGAGAGAGAGTTCTAGAAAAGTGCTGGTAGCTCTGTGGCTGTTCAATATTCATGAAGTGAGCTGATTTTTTTCCTTTGTGATTTCATTAAAGAGGATCATCTAGATCAAGTATATCCTCAAAATAGCAGGAGGACCTTAATACGTATCGCCAAATGCAAAGTAACTCTGTCTCACCCCAGGTCTGCTATCGCCTCCGGACTCCACGGCTACAACGGGATGCTGGTGGGGCTGCTGATGGCCGTGTTCTCTGAGAAGATGGACTACTACTGGTGGCTTCTGCTTCCCGTGACTTTCACAGCCATGGCCTGGTGAGACATCTCATTCCTGGGGCTCACAGATCCACAGGACCCTGAGGTGCTTGTGTCTTAAACGGGGCCAGGACCTGCACCCTTCTGGAGCTCAGGGTCTTCATATTTAGACTGATGTATCTAGCTCGACACTGTGAAAGCACAGGAATACAATTACAACGCAGATTTTTAATATGGCGCTGTGGGTTAATGAGCTAGACTGCAAAGCCGTTTGAACTGCAAAGTCGGTGGTTCAAGGTCACCAGTCACTCCTCAGAAACCCTATACAGGGTCGCTATGGGTCAGAACCAACTCGACGGCACTTAACAACAACAGCTCTTCAAAGCAGCAAAGGATCAATTGTTTGTATTGTGCTGGAAATCTTTCTTGAACAATTGTTGTTGTTGTTGTTGTTATGTGCCCTCGAGTTGCTTCCAACCCATAGCAACCCTGTATAGGTTCCAAGGAGTGGCTGGTGAGCTTGAACCACCAACCTTGCAGTTCAAACCAACATGGCAGTCCAGTGCATTAACCCAGAGCACCACATATTCTTGAACAATAGACTTTATAATAAAGTCTAGTATTTATTATTTCCAATATGCCATACACAGTGCAAAGTTTGGTTATTATTGTCCCCAGTTTACAGAAGGGAAGGTTAAGGCATGCAGACATTCACTACATTACCCCAGGCCATACTCTCCACAGGTTTTTGGATTCTGGCCACCTGAAGCCTCCACTGTTACACAACAGGCATAGGGAGTCATCTCTTCTATGGCCTAGCCAAGCCTCAAAAACCAGAAACTCCCTTGTGATAGAAACAGAGAGCTCTCTTAGAACTGAATTTCTATATTTAAACGGAGAATCCTTTAAGTAGAAGTACTCGTTGAAATTGCTCAGTACAATCACCTCATGCTGCAGATAGAATCAAAAGGTCAAGATGACAGTTGAGTTACACATAATCCTTCATTCACTGGAATCGACAACAGGTCTGTAGAGGGCACAAGGGTGTCAGTACAACACCAGCCACCACACTCATCAGGAAGCCTGAGATGGATGCTTGTGGCCCAAACTCTGACCTCACATGCTCCACACCTCCAAGACAGCTGGTTTACCACTGATGTCCTTCAGAAGCAGATGTCTGCCTGTCATGTCAAATTCTGGAGTTACTAAAATCAGTTCCTTTCATTTAGCTTGAATACTGTTTCATTCCTTGTTGTTAGTCTTTGTTGTTGTTGTTGTTAGGTGCCCTAGAGCCAGTTCTGACTCATAGTAACTCTACGCACAACGTAATGAAACACTACCAGGTCCTTTACCATCCTCACAATTGCTGTTACGCTTGAGCCCATTGCTGCTGACATTGTGCCAATTTATCTCATCTTCTTTATCACTGACCCTCCACTTTACCAAGCATGATGTCCTTCCCCATGAACTTGTCCCTCCTGACAGTATGTCCAAAGTATGTTCTTTTTGATGATGAATGTGATTTCATTCCTCTTCAATTTGTCACCCCCAGCATAAGTGTCAGATTCTAAATATCCAATACCAGTCCATTCAGCTCACTACTACCTAGGTTATCAATCTTTATGCATTCCATTTCATTTTTGACAACTCCAATTTTCCTAGATTCATACTTTGTACATTCCATCTTCCAATTATTAATGGATGTTTATAACTGTGTCTCCTTATTTTAAGTTGTGCCCCGTTACCAAATGAAGGTCCCTAAAGCTTTACTCCATTTGCAGCATCATGGTCAACTGTACTTTGAGGAGGCAGCTCTTCCCCAGTCGTATTTTGAGTGACTTCCAAGCTGAGGGGCTCATCTTCTGGTGCTATATGTGACACTGTATTCTGGTGCTTTTCATCATATTTCAATATTCAATACTCAGGTGCTATCTGACAGTGTTCCACTGCTGTTCATAAGGTTTTCAGCAGCTAAACATTCAGAAGTAGTCCAGCTCTCCTTCTTCCTAGTATGAAGCCTGTCCACCATGGGTGTACTTGCTGGCATTTAAAATACCAGTGGCATAGCTTCCAACCTCACATCAACACACAAGCCACCACAGTAGGACCAACTGAGAGACAAGTGGTGGTTTGCAGTAGTACTTGCAATAAATGTCGTCCCTGTGTGGCGCTTAATTCTGGACAATTTATTTTTCTTCTTTGGGGTTCGTTCTCAGTTGGGACTGAAAGCTCCAACAGTCATGTCAGTAATGATGTCATGTGGTAAAGTCGTCTCTGACTCCGAATGACCCTCTGTAGGGCTTCCAAGGCTGTAAATCTTTACTGGAGCAGAAAGCCTCATCTTTCTCTCATGGAGAGATTAGTGGATTTGAACTGCTGGCCTTTCGGTTGGAGTCCTGTTGTGGCACTGTAGAATAAGCACAGGACTGCAAGATCAGTGGTTCAAACTCATTAGCCTCTCCTCAGAAACCCTATACAGGGTCACTATGAGTCAGAACTGATTCAATGGCACTTACCAACAACCTTTCAGTTAGCAACCCAACTCATAACCCACGAGAATACCAGGGAAGCCTTCTTCAGTTCAGTGCCTGATGGTGGCTGCCAGGAGAACTTGTCTTCAGTTGTACACATTTGGTAGTTTGTAACTACGTAGATTTAGCCCCTTTGTCTATATAGATTACCACCCTCAGCCACACTGTACTAGGTGGTAGTTTGTCTTCAGTGCCCCTGTTCTAATTTAAAAGTCAAGAAAAGATTAAGTACCCCTGCACCGGACTCCTGGTGTGGTGCTGTAGGATCAGCAATGGACTGTGAACCACAAGGTTGGCAGTTCAAACCCACCAGCTGCTCCTCAGAAACCCTATACAGGGTTGCTATGAGTCAGAACCGACTCGATGGCACTTAACAACAACTCTTGGCTAAGCGCTCACCTTCTAATTCAGTCCATTCACTAGTCCATTCGTGTCATCCTTGAAATTCAATCCAAATGGAAGGTATTGCAGTTGTGTTATTAGTATCATCACGTCAGTTCTGACTGACAGCAACTCTATATAGGATTTCTGAGAAGAGACTGGTGGGTTTGAACCGCAAACCTTGGGGTTAGCAGTTCATCTTCTCCTACAGCACCACAGCAAGACTCCACAGTAGGTAGTAATAGCTCCATTTTCCAGGTTTATTTCACAAACAAATATGTGTTGAGTAATTGCTATGTGCAGAGACTATTCTAGCTGTAAACAAGGAATGATCTCTATCCTATTGGAGCTTATGCTCTTCTTGGTGAAATAACAATCAATTCATAAAACAGCTAATAATTTTTTTTAAGATGTAGTAAGTGATTTGAGGAAAGCAGAGCAGGCAAATAGGATAAAGAGGGATTCCAGAAATGAGTGGTCAGGGAGGGTGTTTGCAGAGGTGCCATTCTGAAGTGTCACCTAAATGATAAGAAGCTGCCTGCCATGTGAGCATCTGGGTGAAGGATGCTGGAACAGAAGAAGTACGTGCAAAAGGGAAGTGTGATGTTCTCAAGAAACAGAGGCAAGACCAGAGAGGCCCAGGGAATGAAGGAAAAGCGGCAGGAAAGGAGGGCAGGTAGCAGAACCAGCAGGACAGAGCCCATCCTTGAGTGCCTTGGAGATCCAGGAAGTCTTTTCATTTCATTGCAGAGGTGATGGGAAGTAGTTAAAGGGCTTTAAGCAAGGGAGCAATGACCCATGCCATGGTATTTTCAATAACCTCACATGCATGTGAAAGCTGGACAGTGAATAAGGAAGACTGTAGAAGAATTGCTGCTTTTGAGTTATGGTGTTGGAAGAGAATATTGAAAGTGCCATGGGCTGCCAATAGATCCGTTTTGGAAGAAGTGCAGCCAGAGTGCTACTTGGAGGCCAAAATTGCCAAACTATGTCTCTCATACTTTCGACATTTGTCAGGAGGGACCAGTCACTGGAGAAGGATATCATGTTTGGTAAGGTGGGAGGGTCAGAGAAAAAGATGGATTGGCCAAGTGGCAGCATTGATGGACTCAAGCATGGCAACAGTAGTGAGGTTGGCCCAGGATCAGGCAATGTTTCATTCTGCTGTGCATAAGGTCTCTATGGGTCGGTACCGACTCGATGGCACCTAACAACAACAACAATGGGATATGATCTAAACAACTCACTCTGCTTGAATGTAGAGACTGGATTTTAACTGGAGTCAGAGTGGATGTGGGAAGCACAGTGGGGAATCTGCTGCCATAACCAGACGAGAGATGGTTTGGACTAAGATGATATTCATGAAGGTGGTGAGGATTAGTTGTGTTGGGAACATATTTTAAGGAAGGCAGAAGCAACAGGACTTGCAGGGAGGCTGAAAAGTATGAGTGGGGAAAAGGAGAGAAGATCCAATATACATGAATTCAATACAGCATTTGCCTGAGCAGCTGGGTTAATGGAGAAGACTGAGAGAAGAAAGTTGGTGAAGGCAAAGGGAGTGAAAATCAAGAGTGCTGTTTGGACATAATTAAATTTTAGACTTCAAAGTGGAGCTACTGAGAAAGTAATTGGATGTACAAACCTGGAGCTTAGTAATGTCAAGATTTGGAAGGCAGAAGTATATAGACAGTTTTTCATCCAACTGACTTAAGAACATCATCCAGAAAGAGAAAATGAAAAAAAAGAGGGTCTAAGACAGAACCCTAGTGCCTTCCAACATTTAGATATCTGGCAGACGAGGGGGGTATACATAGAAGGAGACTTGGGAAGGAGCAACTGGAGAGTCAAGAAGAAATCTTAGGGAGTCTGGTGTTGTGGCCGCCTAGAGAGAAAATGTTTTGATACAATGGGAAGGTTCAGCTATCAGAGAGGACAAGGAATTGATCATTGTACTTACCAGATAGATTTCATTAGTGAATGAGCTATTTATTTCCATGGCATAGTGAGGATATGGGTCTAGTTGGAATGGGTTTAGGAAAGAAAGGGAGGACAATGACTTAGGACTGCACTAGACTGCAAGATAGGTGTAAACCACAAGGTTGGTGGTTCAAACTCACCAGTTTCTCCTCGGAAATTCTAGACTGGGTCTCTGTGCGTAGGAACCAACTCCACAGCACTTTAATAACAACAACTAGAAGATAACACCCTTTTGAGGAATATTTCTGTAAAGGAGAATATAGAAATTGGGCAATAGCTGTAGGGGACATGAATTGGAAGGCAATATTTTTAATAAAGATAGAAGATATTTGTTGTTGTTAACTACCATCCAATCGGTTCCAACCAATAGCGATCCTGTATAGAGTTTCCAAAGAGCAGGTGGTGAGTTTGAACTGCCAACATTGTGGTTCAAATTAACCTTGCAGTCCTGTGCTTTATCCAAAGCTCCACACCAGGACTCCAGCATGCTTTATCCTGAGTGTGATCCAGAGGAGAGGGAGAGAGCTACAGGAGAAGAGAAAAGAATTGCAGGCATGAAGTCCATGAAACAATTGGATCCAGAGTACAGGGAGACGAACTGGCATAACAGAGCGGAGCCACTTCTTCCGGTGTAGGAAATGGACAGGGGAGGCAGTTGTGGAAACAAATCAGGCAGCGTGTGAGTTGTGTGATTGGGAAAGTAATTTTGGTTCTCATGACGTGAATTTTCATAATGACATGAATCAAGGTAGTTAGCTGAGACTTAGAGGGGCCCAGAGAGTGAAGATTAGATGATACGAGAGAAAATGTGAAATATTTGTCTCAACAAGTTGGAGTTAATTTGCTTTTGTTTTTGTTGTTAGGTGCCATCTACTCATTTCAGAATCATAGCAACAAATGCACAACAGAACCACAGAACGAAACCCCACACGGTCCCGTGTCAGCCTCATGATTGTGGTTGTGTTTGAGCCATTGTTGCTGCTACTGCGTCAATCCATCTCAATAGGCGGTTTCCTCTTTTTCACTGACCCTCCATTTTTCCAAGCATCATGTCTTTCTCCAGGGATCTGTCTCTCCTGACAACATGTCCAAAGTAAGAGAGACAATGGCTTTCCATCTTAGCTTCCAAATAGCATTCTGCCTACACTTCTGTCTGTTCTTCTGGGAGTTCATGGTACTTTCAGTATTCTTCAGCAACAGAATAATTCAAATGAACTGATTCTTCTGTGGTCTTCCAACTTTCACATACATATAAAGCAATTCAAAATAGCATGGTTTGGGTCAGGCAAACCTTAGTCCTCAAAGTTACAGCTTTGCTTTTTAATACACTAAAGAGATGTTTTGCAGCAGATTTGCCTAATGTAATACACCCTTTGATATCTTGACTACTGCTTCTATGGTATTGATTGTGGATGTGCTCCATTTCATTTTTGACAACTCCCAATTTTCCTAGATTCATATTCTCTACATTCCCCATTGTGTTTTTAATGGATTCTTGCATCTGCATTCTTCTCGTTTTGAGTTGTGCCCTTTCCTACTTCTGTAGTGCCGCTATAACAAAAAGGCCACAAATGGGGGGCTTTAACAAGCAGAAATGTACTCTCTCACCTTTTAGGAGGTTACAAGTCCAAACTCAACACTGGCTGCATCAGCAGGCCCAGTAGTCTTTGGAGTTCTCCATGTGACTTGGGATCAATCTTCCTCTGGCTCTAGGAGCTTCACAGTGTAGGGACCCCAGCTCTAAATGATGTTCTCCACTCCTAACTGATCTTCGTGGTAGTTGTTGTTGTTGTTAAGTGCCATCGAGTCGGTTCCGACCCATAGCGACCCTGAACAGGGTTTCCGAGACTGTAAATCTTTACGGGAGCAGAAAGCCTCATCTTTCTCCCATGGAGCCGCTGGTAGTTTCGAACTGCTGAGCTTGCGGTTCACAGCCCAATTCGTAACCACTACGCTACCAGAGCTCCTTCATGGTAGTAGGTCCCATTTTCTCAGCTCAAGTCTCTCTCCTTTATCTCTAGTGAGATATTGCATGCCACACCCTTGGGAATCGCCCATGAATTGGGTCAGGATGGTGGGAGTATTAAGGGTGGTATATCTCACCCTTCTTGACTGCTGCTTCCAAGAGTGTTGATAGTTGATCCAAGAAGAATGAAGTCCTTGACAACTTCTGTCTTTTCTCCGTTGATAACAATGTTGTTTAAGGAGCTCTGGTAGCGTAGTGGTTACGAATTGGTCAGCAGTTTGAAACTACGAGCTGTTCTGTGGGAGAAAGATGAGGCTTTCTGTTCCCATAAAGATTTACAGCCTTGGACACACTGTACAGGGTCATTATGAGTCGGAACCGACTCCATGGCACATCACAACAACAACAACAATGTTGTTTATTGGTCCAGTGGTGAGGATTTTTGTTTTCTTGACAATGAGATGCAATCCAAGCTGAAGGCTGTGGTCTTTGATCTTCATCAATAAATAGTTTAAGTCCTCTTCACTTTCAGCAAACAAGGCTGTATCATCTGCATATCATAGGTTGTTAATGAGTCTTCCTCCAATCCTGATGCCACATCTTTCTTCATATAATCCAGCTTTGCCTTATTGCATTAGACAAATCTTCTACACAAGACCTTTTTAAAAGCGTTGAAGAGCAAAGATGTCAGCTTGGGGACTAAGGTGCATCTAACTGAAGCCATGATATTTTCAATAACCTCATATGCATGTGAAAGCTGGACAGTGAATAAGGAAGACCATAGAAGAACTGATGCTTTTGAGTTATGGTGTTGGAGGAGAATATTGAAAGTGCCATGGGCTGCCAAAAGAACCAATAGATCCATTTTGGAAGAAGTGCAGCCAAAGTGCTACTTGAAAGCCAAGATTGCCAAACTTTATCTCTCATACTTTGGACATATTGTCAGGAGGGACCAGTCACTGGAGAAGGATATCATGTGGTAAGGTGAAGGGTCAGAGAAAATGAGGAAGACCCTCAGTGAGATGGACTGGCAAAGTGGCAGCATCAATAGGCTCAAGTATAGCAACAATTGTGAAGTTGGTCCAGGACCAAGCAGTTGTGCATAAGGTCACTGTGAGTTGGTATCGACTCTATGGCACCTAACAGCAACAACAACATCTCACTCTTGGAGACCTGGTGTGGTGCTGTAGGATCAGTGCTGACCACAAGGTCAGCAGTTCAAACACACCAACCTCTCCTCAGAAACTTAAACAGGGTCACTATGAGTCAAAACCAACTCAAAGGCAATTGACAACAACAACAAAAACAATCTCATCCTTAATCCAGTTATTGGCTCATCACATCAAATCACATCATTTGTTGTTGTTGTTAGGTACCATTGAGTCTATACCAACTCAGTAAATCACATCATGTTGTTGTTGTTAAGTACCATCGAGTCAGTTCCAACCCATAGTGACATTGTATAGGGTTTCCGAGGAGCAGCTAGTGAGTTTGAACCGCCGACCTTGCAGGTCAAATGGCTTTGCAGTCTGGAGCATTAACCCACAGCGCCACACCAGGACTCCAAATCACATCATAGGAGATAGCTATGATGTGAGCTATCTCCTAAATCACATCATAGGAGATAGCTATTTCTCACCTGCCAAACCACTGAGAATCCTGGCCCAGTCAAGTTGACACAAAACCCTATCACAGGCTTCATCAGCAAATGAAGGTCCTGAAAGCTTAACTCTATTCACATCACTAAGGTCAACTCTACTTTGAGGAGGCAACTCTTTCGTAGTCTTATTTTGAGTCCCTCCCAGCCTGAGGGGCTCATCTTTCAGTACTGTGTCAGGCAATGTTCCACTGCTTTTCATTAGGTTTTCAATGGCTAACATTATCCACTTATCCTTCAGATGTCTTAGCCTAGAAGCGCTGCTGAAACCATGGGTTATCCTACTAGTGTTTAAAATACCAGTAATATAGCTTCTAGCATCACAGTAACACACAAACTAATACAATATGACAAACTATCACAGTAGGACAAACTGACAGACTCTGCTTACATAAGTACCATAGAAGACTGTACTTTGCTTACCTAAGTACAATGGAAGACTCTTCCCAAAAGGTCAAACTTCTAAAGTGATTCTATAGACCAGGACTATAACCATTGTATATTTTGATTTGCTTCATTTTTGTGGTTTAAGAAATAAGAAATACCTATTTTTTTTAAGTTTTCTATTCAAAACAAGTTGTGTTGATTTTAAATTTTGGTTCTCAAAGGTGTAAACTTCCAATACCTAGATTAGTTGCTTACATTGAGCACATTATTCCCAACCCAGACCATTGAATCACTATAGTCTCAAAGGAGCCAAGGAAATGTGCAGTGGATGGTACGGTGACCAATGATGAGGAGATAGTAAAAAACTAAGAATGTGACTAGCTCTCTGTTTTTTCCATGTTTAGCCCAGTTCTTTCAAGTGCTTTGAATTCCGTCTTCAACAAGTGGGACATCCCAGTCTTCACACTGCCCTTCAACATTGCAGTGACCCTCTACCTGGCCGCCACAGGCCACTACAACCTCTTCTTTCCCACAACACTGGTGGAGCCTGTATCTTCAGTGCCCAACATCACTTGGACAGAGATTGAAATGCCCTTGGTAAGTTGGCCAATTACAGAAGAGTTGGGACCTCTGGTTTTACTGCAGACCTCACTAACTGGTTTGTGGCTTACTCATGCTCTCAACTGCTCTAGATGCAGCTTGACCTGACAGTGGGGCTCAAGAGAGAAGAAGACAGGAAAGAGTTGCTACCACATCCATACATCGATTCAACAGACCCTTATTAGACTCCCAGCATGAGCTGGACACTTGTTCAGCTACTGTGAATACACAGGGAGTGAGACAGACATCTGTGCTTTTGTGAACTTAAGCTCTACATGGAGAAATGAATAGTAAACAAATGAGCCAATAAGTGTTAACCTGGTAATATGGGATGGTGGAGGCTGGAAGTAAAATATTAGCAAGTTGGATAGTTTGATAAAGGAACAAGAGACTAAAGTCACTGTTTAAAATTAACATTGTAAAGGTATTAATAGAAGATAGCCAGCGAATTTTCAGTTACTTGCCATATCAGTGGTTCTAAGCCAGAGATGATTTTGCACTCCAGAAGACATCAGATAATGTCAGGGAACAGTTTTAATTGATGCAAAATGGAGTGGGGTGGCAGAAGGATAAAGATCAGGGATGCTGTTAAACATTCTACAAAGCATAAGACAGCCCCTACAACAAAGAATGATCAAGCCCCAAAGGTCAATAGTATCAATTTTGAAAGATCCTGTTATAGCCTACTAACACAAATGTGCCACCACTGGTCTGTCAGTTTGTCATACTGTGGTGGTTTGTGAGTTGCTGTGATTCTGAAAGCTATGTCACTGGTATTTTAAATACCAGCAAGATCACCCAGGGTGGACAGGTCTCAGTGGAGCTTCCAGCCTACGGCAGATTAGAAGGGAGAGATGGGCCACTTCTGAATAATTAGTCACTGAAAACTTTATGAACACCAATGAACCATTGTCAGATGTAGTATGAAAAAGATGAGCCCCTCAAATTGGAAGGCACTCAAAATATAACTGTGGAAGAGCTGCCTCCTCAGAGTAGAGCTGATCTTAGCAACGTGGATGGAGCAAAGCTTTCAGAGCTTTCATTGGCTGATGGGGTACAACTCAAAATGAGAAGAAACAGCTACAAATATCCATTAATAATTAGATCGTGGAATGTACAAAATATGAATCTAGGAAAATTAGAAGTTGTTAAAAATGAAATGGAACACATAAAGATCGATATCCTAGGCATTAGTGACCTGAAATGGACAGGTAGTGGCCATTTTTAATCAGACAATCATGGTTTACTATGCCAGGAAATGACAAACTGAAGAGGAATAGAGTCACATTCATTATCAAAAAGAGCATTTCAAGCTCTATCTTAAAGTACAATGCTCTCTGGATAAGAGAAATTCCATATATACTCCTATAAAGGAGCTCTGGTAGCGTAGTGGTTACGAATCGGGCTGCGAACCTTAAAGTCAGCGGTTCGAAACTACCAGCCGCTCCGCGGGAGAAAGATGAGGCTTTCTACTCCCGTAAAGATTTACACCCTCAGAAACCCTGTACAGGGTCGCTATGGGTCGGAACCGACTCGATGGCACTTAACAACAACAACAAGGGAGACCAGTTAATATCATCATTATTCAAATTTATGCACCAACTACTAAAGCCAAAGACAATGAAACTGAAGAATTTTACCAATTTCTTTGGGAATCCTGGTGGCATGATGTGTTTATGGGCTGGGCTACTAAGCACAAGGTCAATAGTTGAGTCCACTAGCCACTCACCAGAAGAAAGATGAGGCTTTCTGCTTTACAGTCTCAGAACCCCTATACAGGGTCACTGAGTCAGAACCAACTCAATGTCACACAACAGCACCCACCACTTTCTTCAGTCTGAAACTGACCAAACGTGCAATCAAGATGCATTGATAATTATTGGTGATTGGAATGCCAAAGTTGGAAACAACGAGGAAGAATCAATAGTTAGAAAATATGGCCTGGATGATAGAAACAATGCTAAAGATCACATGATAGACTTTTACAAGACCAACAGCTTTTTTCTTAAAAATACCTTTTTTACAAGCTGGAATACACAGGAATCAAATTGACTGTATATGTGGGTAGAAACCGTAGAGATGCTAAATATCATCAGCCAAAACCAGACCAGGGACCAACTAGGGAACAAAGCATCAATTGTTCCTATGTAATTTCAGGCTAAAGCTAAAGAAAATTAAAACAAGTTCACCAGAGCCAAAATATAACCTTGAATATATCCCATGTAAATTTATAGACCATCTAAAGAACAGATTTGATGCATTAGGGACAGATGACCAAATGCCAGATGAGTTGTGGGATGACATTAAGAACATCATATATGCAACTTAGACATTGGCTGCCTAAAATGAGGGAACCATAAAAGCACAAAATGACTGGCTTACAAGTTTTCAAGAGGAAGTTTAGTTTAAGAGTGTATCGGGGGAAGATTGAGTCCCCACTGAACAGTTTTCATCTTGTCTAGATGGGTCTGGTGAAAAGAGATGGGGATAAGATTCTTATGATTCCGTAGTGAGTAATTATTATTATGACTAATTGCAACTGTCACAACTGTAAAGGTAGAAGTTTTGTGTTGCAGACTGTCCAGACCCGGTCAGGAGTTCGAGGCCCTGTGGGCCCAAGTGTTGCAGACCGTACAGGCCGCTGGCTCTGAGAAACAGACTCTAGCCATATATGCCGAGGACCAGCCTCAACACGAGTGTTTGGTTCACGAGGTGGGGATATCTGGCGGTGATAGGGATAGCAAAAGAGGAGACCCAGAGACACAACAAGAGAGACAAAGAGACACCCCAAAACCAGAGTGGATGCATTACTGGCGTCCGGCAGATCCGGTGTTGTAAACATCTGAGCTATAAGGGCGGTAAGATCCCGCATAGTACACATCTTAGTTATGCAGGCAGTATGCACCCCTTACTAGCTGGTCAGCAACGCATGCCTAGTCAGCCGTATAGCACACTCTCCAAGCTGTAATGCACACCTGGGTAGGTCCGTGCCTCCGTTTTATTTAGGGGAGGTACTTTACACAAAGCTGGGAGGGACTAAGACAAGGTACAGTGAACATTCGTAATATTCCAGACATTCAGGCAACTTTACATTGTATTTCGAAGGTTCGAATCTCATGATCACAACTTGGTTTCTCAAGCTTAATTAACATACCTTTTAGCACCTAGCCTCAAATGGGGGAAGGAAAAGGAGGATTGGGAGGAGTCCCATTGTGTCGGCTGCCCAGCCCAGGTTCTTTAGGAAAAGAGATGCCTGGGTGAATAGGGCTGCACCTGGAAACACTTTAGGGAGGGTGTCCTTTTGTCCTTAGAACAAAGACCGGGAGCCACCCAATTTACTTTGACTGAATTCTTTGAGGGAAGAATTTTGCCTTTTTGGAATTTTACAGTCTCGGCTTTTAGGAAAATATTACATTTATCTGTGGATATCAGGGTTTCATGTATGCAATTAATAATAAACATAACTGAACAATAAGATGAAAGACAGTTTGCTATGTCTGCTAAGTGGCTAGAGTTTGCTCCTCAGAGCCAGCGGCCTGTACGGTCTGCAACACTTGGGCCCACCGGGTCTGGACGGTCTGCAACAGTTTTGTAACAAAACCAGAGGAGAGGAAGTAGCTGAGAACTCTAGACTCATGGAAAGAGAGGGACTGAGTGCTGGCAGCCAGGAGGCAGAGTTGCAGAATGTGCCCTTTGATTGCTTAAATTATTATATATTCTTGAGTGTTTTTGTGCACACACTCCCAACAACCCCCCCCCACCGAAAAAAAAAACAGAGGGAATGGAAGCAAATACTGTTGAATGATGATGAATGGAGGAGAATGTAATCATTACAATGAAACAATGGTGTAAAGCCAATGTTCTCCCTTGTAAACTATTCCTCGCTTCACAATAAAAAAAAAAAAAATTTTAAGGTATTTAATTATTTTACAGTCAATAAAGACATAAAATTCAAAAAAGAAAAGAAAGAACATAATACATGAAGAAAGCAAAAGGTCATTTAAAAGACAGGAAAAAGAGAAAACACTAAAATGGATATTAGAAGAGACTATGAAACTTGCTTTCAAATGAAGAGAAGCTAAAGTGACTGGATAAATGATAAAGCAAAAGAGCTGAACTGAAAATTTCAAAGGGAAGCTCGAGAAGAGAAAGTCAAGTGTCATAATGAAATGTGCAAAAGACCTAGGGTTAGAAAATCAAAGGAAAGAACATGCCCATCCTTTCTCAAGCTGAAAGAACTGGAAAAAAAAAAAGTTCAAACCTCAGATTGCAATATTGAAGGATTCTATAGGTAAAATATTGAGTGACTCAGAAAACATCAAAAGATGGACTCAGAGTCATTGTATCAAAAAGAATTAGTTGATGTTCAACCATTTCAAGAGGTTAGCATATGCTTCCTTCGACCTGAAAATTAGAGAGAAAAGAGGAAGGACTGGTTGATCTGAAGTGTGGTGAGGCCTGGGGACTCCTGAGCCCATGGACAAAGACATAGCCATGGAGGGTTAGAGCTGAGAGTGAAGCATCCAGCTGATATGAAGTGAGGGGAGATGCACAAGAACACCTAAACTTGTAGATAGTACCCATTTGGCCTAGTCTTGATGGCTTGATTATCAGAACTCAACTAGAGGAAGATTTGAAAAAACCATTTTTGATAAAGAAAACAAGTTTAAATTGCTATGATTTGATTAACTTGACCTCTACTTATGGATATAATAGCTCAAAATACCAACTGAGAGACAGGAGTCAATCCTTTCCCCTCTGTACACAGGGTAGATAGGAACGGGCAGCTTAGACATTGGCTACCTAAAATGGGGGGATATAAAGGCGCGAAGTGACTGGCTTACAAGTTTTCAAGAGGGAGTTTAGTTTAAGAGTGTGCAGGGGAAGATAGAGTCCCCAAGGAATAGTTTTCATCTTGTCTAGATGAGTCTGGTGAAAGGAGATGGTGATAAGATTCTTATGATTCAATAGTGAATAATTGTTATCATGACTAATTA